TTTTTCCTGATGTTCTCTGGTTTGAATTTAGGGATTTCACTTCTCAGAGCTGTAAACTTTTTTCTTTCTGACTGTTTTTTTTCTATCACCTTCCTGCTCCTCTGATCCTGGACGTCACACAAACACTCAAAAACACAAACCTCCTGCTGCCTTTAACCCTCACCGATGACCGACCTGTGAGTGTCCCAGTACAAGATGCTGTCGAGTCGAACGTCACCTCAGTTTGTTTGACTGAAAATGAATCTTCATCTTCGACCTAACATGAAAGTCGATGTTGTCGTTCCGGTTAACGACCATAAAGGTGGTTTTGTGTGTTTTAACTGATTAACTACAGGTACAGGATCCAACTACCTCCACTCCTTTGAGATCCTTGGTTCTATCGCATTTTCAACAAAGCACAGACGTCTTTAATGATGTCCGTCTGATTTTATTTGCCCAGACTGGGAATTTTTCTGCCTTTAAAAGCGGCAGATTCCTTCACTGTGGGTTTCTAGAAGAACATATTGCTGTTTCAGTTTTATTGGTGTCATTTTTCAATGCTGTAAGCGTCAAAAAAGACGATTGTTCTGGTAGATTCCTGGTCATCCAGGTCGGTGCTTCAGTAGAAGGTAACTGGACCTTTTTTTTTGGTACTTGAAGATGCTTCACCTCTAATCCAAGAGACTTTTTCAGTTCAACTTCAGTAACTGATGGGTTGTTCCAGGTATTTATTTGCAGGTGTAAATGATGGTGAAACTGCCCGGGGAGGGATGACTCCAAGAGCCTAAAGGATAATTGACAATGCTTTGAGGATGTCCACATTCTGGACAGAGAAAATAGAAGGTTTGTCGCATTTAGATCCCCCCCCATGCAGTTTAACCGCAAATCTCTACTAGTTAGAACTGGTGAAGCCTCTTGGATGAGAGCTGAAACATCTTCAAGAACCAAAGAAGAAAGTCTAGGAACCTTCTACTGCAACACAACAAAAATCCCATTCGCCTCCATTTGATCAGTTGAAGGCAGATCTCTGGAAAACTTGACAAAGAAAACCACCTCCAAATGTCAGCATGGTGAGAAACCACCAAACATGAGGGAGAAGTATCATGAAATTGTTCATGTAGTTAATGGGGGCAATCACGCAGACCACCTTTGTGATCCTCAGTATGTGTTATTGCATGTTTGTCAGTGCTGCAGATATTAAGCTGGGTGGAGGAAAAAACAAACAGTTCATCCATGTTTCTAGTGTCTGACGGCATGTTAGGGCCATATGTGAGAAAATACAATCACAAAGCTGAGAAAGGGGGTTAATGTTCAGGGGGAAAATTCTCAAGATTAAAGTTGTAAATTTGCAAAGAAAAACTTCTGACAAATAGTGGATAGTTTCATGAAAGGAGCCTCGTGGCTTCTTCAGACCACCAGTAAACACGGACGCTCTTAACTGCCTTTTAGTTCCTTAAAGCGCTAAAGTTATCGCCTCCTTTGCATAGGTTCAGTTCACAGCAACATGTCTTTAAAGCCCGGATTGTTTTAAAAAGCGTCTTTTTCGATTAGATCTCAAGTATCCAGAACCATTTTTACAGCTGGAGAATAGTCTGACTTCACCTCATTATCCCTCTGCTCTATCTTTCTGCAAACCTTAAGTCTTTGTGTTGCATTTCAGCCAATCATAATCATCTTGGGCAGTGCTCAGCCCAGGATGCAGGGATGGTGCCTCTCAGTCTTTATTATCATAGTCTCAGGTAAATGTATTTTATGTATATATATTTGCAAATAGGGGCTGCAAGGTGGTGCAGTTGGTAGCACTGTTGCCTCGCAGCGAGAAGGTCGCTGGTTTGCGCCCTGGTAGGGCACCTTTCTGCGTGGAGTCTCCATGTTCTCCCCGTTCAGCGTGGGTTCTCTCCGGGTTCTCCGGCTTCCTCCCACAGTCCAAAAACATGTTGACCCTAGTGAGGATTAAGCGGTGTATACATAATGGATGGATGGATATTTATAAATTAAGCCACAGTTTACCTTTAAGATTAAGCTTAACTTTATAACTTACAGTATGCTACTAATTTAAGTGAGATTATTTTTGGCATGTTTTATTGAAATCTTGCAATTTGACGAGCATGTGCAATAAAACAATAATAAAAAATACCATCAGAGGCCCTGAATCTGATTAAAACTACTTCCAAAGCTCAGGTTACATGAGCAGTGAAGCTAGGCAACAAAATGCTGGTGGATCTGGTCCCTTTGAATTATTTATGTTTGTAAAAATCATCAAATCCACACTTTTTAAACTTCTCTGGTATTTTTAGAGCAGATGCTGCACATTAGCTTTGCTATTGTTGACTTTTCAACACTTGGAACTAGCTAAACTTGCTGTAGCACAACTGGACGATTTAACAGTTGCATGCTGCATAGTACTATAACTACTGTAGTATTCGTCAGTAGTATGTGGTATTTGGTTGGGAATCCAGGCCTTGTCTTGGTGGAACATTATGGAGTCGAGCACAGTCATTAAAATGGCTGCTTTGCCAAGAAAACCAAGTCTTGGGCAAAACTTGCGTTGCTGCTTGAGGGATTTTGAAAACAATACCGTGCAGGTTGTGGCTACCTAAAGACTTACACCTGCATCTACGTCTGGTAATTCAGACTAAAGTACGGGATGCATGACTATACAATCCCTAAAACACTTGCTGAAGTGGTTCTAGACGTATTTGACCACATAGCCTTTGTTATGATGATGTGGTGGTCCGGCGCTCTTTTGCAAGTCGCAAATGACTTCGTCCTGCCAATCTCAACAGTTGGAACAGCACATACATGGTAATTAGTTCTTAAAATGTATTTATTTTTCTCAGCTAGCCTGTGAAAGACAAATCAGAAAACAAACTGATGTCATAACAAAATCTGAACACAAGTGGTCGACTGGGCACCATGGAGATGCAGGGTATCAAAGAAATGCATTCTACCACCAGATGTAAACAGGTTGATGGTAGTATAGTGGTTCTGGGATTGATTAATTTCTATTTCCTTGCTGCTAAATCCAATCTGAGGTATAATTTGATCAGTTTGTCTGATTCAGCCTTGCAACGTAGAGCGATGTAGTTCGTTGACCCCAAAAAACAGGTTTTCTCTGAGCCTCTTTCTCATGGATTTGTAAATTTACCGCCTGATTCTCTGAGTTTTTTCTCTGAATACTAACCCCCTTCTTCAGCTCTGTAATTTTATTTTAGTTTTTACCTACAATGGCCTCTAATACGCCGTCCTACTTCCAATCCTTCTTTGAACAAAGGGTATCTAAACTGGTTTCTTTACTCAGTGAAGGATTAGTTTTTATTAAACAGACTGACATTTTAATATCAATTCAATTCACTTTGATTTATTGACATAAAACTTGGGACAATATTGCCAAAGCATCGATTAAAATATGACAAACAAAACCTGTGAATCGTACACCAACAAAAAAACACAATAATCAGAAGCAACAAATAAGAACAGTCTTTATTCATGCAGTAGCCGAGATGTCCTTCTGTTCTAAAGAAGGTGGTTTGATCACGAGAGGTTCTCGACCGGCAGGTGAACTGGAGAACCCACCCAAACCCGTCGCTCTAACAGGTCCAACATCTCGTCCTTCATCCTGTCGTGTTCATGACGTCTCTCATGAACTCTTGTTCTGGTTTCTGAACAGGACGTCTGAAGCATGAACTCATCAAACACCTGAGAGAATTGTTGTTGTGATTCTATTGACTGTAGCTGACGTCTGTGGTGATTTAATGGAAGTGTCGTACACGTTTAACACATATTATCGCTGTGACTCATCCGCAGTCTGTTGCATTGATGGCATTTATCGATGGATGTTCTCCGAATGTCTGATGACTGTTTCATGAGCTGCTGCTTCATAGTGATTGTGTTTTGTTTTGGTGCCTGAGACGCTATTTTACCAGTAGAATACGCCACTGTTAGTATTTACCAGTGCTGGTTTTCTTCAACTGTCCAGAAAAGCAGCAATTTGGTCACTGCGGCTCCAAGAATGATTACCTCCCAGTTACAAAAATCTGCCAGTGGTGCAAGTTTGAAGTTGGGAAATCAGCAACTTCAGTCGAGTTCTTCTTCTGATGACCATGAAGGCTTGTACCAAAACTTTTTAAAAAGTTTTAATCAGACTCCTGCACAATGTCTGTCTTGTAAAGATTCATTTATTGGTTTTATGGAAAATAGTCTTTTTTCTTTGGGTGTTTCATACCTCCCTACGGGGACTTTGTTCACTGCTGGATGAGCCACTCCCTATTTAAGCTGGCTTCTGACTTTGTACCAAACTATTTGCTTTACACTGAAACACTGCACTGATAAATAAATCTTTGCAAAGTAGACAATGTGCTTGAGTCAGTTTGAACCTTGTGGATACACCAGCAAAACTTGAACCAGTCCATTTAGTACACATTGAGATATTTGACTGGATAAATGGTCTGGAAGAAAGTCGCCAAAGTCATTGGATTAATTCTAATTTCTATTGATGGTTGTTGAGATATTTCAGTTTGGACCAAAGGGTGGACCAATAAACCAGCAATAGAACAACTTTTGAGACACCAAAGTGATGCATTTAAACACCATGACTGGGCCTCCGAGATCACAGGAGTGATTGACGCTTTCGTTTTGCAGCTGCAGATTAAACGTGCGTCAAAATTCAACCCAGTTGTTTCTTCAACATTCATGGGAACACCGCTGGACTTGTGTGGTGAAGGTTCTGAGTTCTAGAACCGGATGCAGTGACTGTATCTGTCTGTTTCCTGGTTATGTGACTGCAAACTGATGTAGTTTCTGTGATTTTGAATGTGTTGAACTAACGCAGTCAATTTTATTGTTTTTTTGCAACTATATAGAAAACCAATAACATCTGTAAAATGACTGAAAATTCAGATTCATTTCAAATGTGGACTTAAAATGCGTTCGTTCAACACATCTGGCTCTTGAGTGTAATTCATTTGGGAGGCTTTTGTACCTTTCCCATTTGTTTTCTTTGTGCCACTCTGTCCCTGTAGGGGACGATGACGACGAAGCGAGCACAGAGCGCAACATGGCCGCCGTGTCACCCATACCTAAAATAGTCACCACACCCATCAAAGAGGACGATCGCAGGGACGAGTGGGGTAAGAGTGAATGTTTGGTTTTCACTTCATTATCCAGTCTGGAGTCACCGCTAGCTGCTGTGGTTTTGTTTATGAAGCAGCTTATTTAGCCTCAATTTGGGTTTCATTAATTATTATTGATGTCCTGATCAAGTATTTAGTATCTGCTAATACCGAGTCCCAGTCCGACACCAGGCTTCTAGATAATACACACTTCAAGTACATTAAAGTTATTAAAACCAATCCAGTGTATATGCTTGACAGCTCCACATTAAGAAAAAAAAGTTTCAATTCAAGCAGTTCCTCAGTGTTACACAGGTGTTAATGAAGCTTGTTTTACAGCTCTGATAGGACACTGTCTATATGATAGTGTTAGAGGGTAGGACGCACTGAGGTTCCACAAGCTCCAAAAGATGGAGAAAACCTGGAATCGCTACATGCATATCAGAAAATGTACGTAGACCAGCTGTAGTACCCGGTTGTTCCACCAGGTGGAGCGTCTTACTGTTTAATATTGTAGTGACTAGAGGAGGCGTCACCCAGACATGTTGGCAATTTCAAGGAACTGGTGTTTTAGCAACGTATAGGCACCATGACGCACCATGACAAAGACTTCTGTGGTGCTTAACGGTGTCCGGCTGAAGCTCATGTTTAAAGTCATGGACATTTTACACCTTTTACACCCTTGAATAAGATTTCAAACACACCAAGGGGTTGTCGGTAAATTTTTAATTTTTCTTCAGGATCAGCTGAAGAATGTCTTTTTTGGTCCTTATTCAGATCTTTGAGATTGGATCAGGACGACCTTGTTAATTATTATTATTATTATTATTAAATCTTTGTTTCTCTTGTGCTCGTCTCTAGATTCGGTGCCAAAGCAGGAGCAGAAACCGCCGGTCCAGGAGTCGACGACCACCAAACCGGTTCAGAGCGTCGCCCCACAGGCCCGCGACTCTGCCAGCTTTAACGTGTGGGAGTCCGGAAATGACAGCTTGGTGGACCTGTGGGACAGCAGCTCCGGCCCACCGCCCAGCCAGACCTCCCAGTCCTCCAACCTGGTGGACCTGATGGGCGACATGCCGCCCAGCGCCGCCGCCGCCGCCACCGCCGCCACCGCCGGCCGGCCTCAGCCCCTCCTCAGCTTTGACGAGATGATGGACGGGACTTTCTGCTCGGGCACCAGCGCCGAGGACGACCCGTCCAGCCTGGTGGACGTGACCGGCTCCGACCAGATGACCCTCAGCTACCAGCATGCACTGCAGCATGCGTCCGGGGAGGGGGCGGAGCTGGATGACGGACAGCTGCTGATGACCAACGGGGAGACGCTGCTGAAAGAAGGGACTCAGGTCAGACGAGTCGATGCTGCCGCAGGTCAAAAACAGGTTTTCTGTCTGTCGCTTTCTTAATTATTCATCTGTTTTTGCTTTCAGGCGAGCGAGGGTTATTTCAGCCAATCACAGGAGGAGGAATTCGGCCAATCAGAGGAGTCCTCGGCTAAACCTGCACCGGTTTTTTATAACAAGCCACCAGGTGAGATGCTTGTAGCTGATAGAAGAAACGTGCACTACAGACAAACTGCAGGTGTTTGTATTTAATTCAGCAGGTTTCAGTCTCACCTGTTATTATAGAAAGAAACATCAGCATTAAATATCCGCTTTCAGCCGCTGATGTTCTCCCAATATTTGCATCGTCGATAGAAAAACCCGTTGTGGTAAAAGAGACCATTTCAAATCTGCAACAAGCTTTCTTACCATTTCCTTGGTTGCTTGACACTTTAAAGGGAGATTCTTCTTCCAGCCGATTTAAATCCAAAACTCTGAACTGAACCTGCTTCCGACCAGGTTAGCGCCACAGCATTGGTTACCATGGAGATCCAGCAGGTTAAAAAGACCTTCAGGACACTGAAAACTCTGACTTTAGGCTCAACATACCTCGATAACCCGCTAATCTCGCTTCATAGTTCATCCCTCAGAGCTTCTAAACCAAACAACAAGTGTAAATGAAGCGAACAAAAAGGCATTCTCACTCCTGCTCAACGGCTAAATGTTCTATTTACAGCTGTGTTTATCAGCAGAAGTACAAAAAAAGACTACAAACAGTCTTCATATGCAGAATTCACTCAGTATTACAGACATCTAAGAGGCCGTCTGAGGTCTCAAAGACTTCCTGGCTGATGTCTTGAGATGTTGCTTCAATATTTCCACATAATGTTCTTTCCTCATGATGCCATCTATTTTCTGAAGTGCACCAGTCCCTCCTGCAGCAGAACAGCCCCACAACATGATGCTGCCACCCCCGTGCTTCACAGTTGGGATGGTGTTCTCAGGCTTCAAGCTTCCTCCTTTTTCCTCCAAATGGTCATTAAGGCCAAACAGTTCAGGTTTAGTTCCATCAGAACACAGGACATGTCTCCACTAGTGAAGCTCTTTGTCTCTGTGTGCATTTACAAACTGTAATCTGTCTTTTTCGTGTTTCTTCTGGAGTGATGTCTTCTTCCTCTCTGAGTATCCTTCAGTCCATGTCGGTACAGGACTGGTTCCACTGTGGATAATGACTCTCTGACCAGCTTCAGCAGCATCTTCACAAAGTCTTTAGCTTCTGTTCTGAGGTTGATTCACACATTTCCACCAAAACACTTCATCTCTGGGACACAGAACCGTCTCCTTCCTGAGCGCTATGATGGCTGGACATTCCCATGGTGGTCATACTTGATATAACTGTTCGAACAGATGAACGTGGAACCTTCAGGCATCTGGAAACTGTACCCAAGGATGAAGCAGACTTGTGGAGGTCCACAGTTCTCTTCCTGGTATCTCGGCTGAGTTCTTTGGATTTTCCATGTTGTCACTAAATGAAGCAGTGTGTTTGAGGTGTGCCTTAAAATACATCCACAGGTGTGCCTCCAGTTAACTCACATGTTGTCAATGAACCAATCAGAAGCTTCCAAAGTCATGACATCATCATCTGGGCTTTCCCAAATAGTTTGAAGGCATCTTAGTGGATGTAAACTTCAGACTTTGAAGAAAGTAACAAAGAAATCCTCTCTCTCATTATTCTGGCATTTAGCAAATATAAATAATGTTGGTAATCCTAACTGACCTAAAACAGGAAAAGTTTAGTCTGATTTAATGTCAGACAGTGAGAACAAAAAGCTTGAGTGTCTTTTTATACAGTGGATGTAAACTTCTGGTTTCACCTGTGTTTGTGTTTTTTGTTCAGAGATTGACATCACGTGCTGGGACACGGACCCCGTGGTCGACGACGACGACGACTAACCGCCGATCCGCCGCCGGACCAAGAGGACGAAGTAGGAAGTGCGCTTCATGAAGAAAACTGTTTTTTTTTTTTTTCCTTTTCTAAAAAAAAAAAAACGAAACACAAACAAAAAAAATAATGATAATAATAATAACAAGTCTTGCATCAAAACTACTTCTGTATTATCTTTTAGAGGAAACGAAACAGTAGCCACTGAGACGAAGACGGTGTTTGGTTTAAAGACAGATTTTTTTTTCTTGTGTTTGTTATTTTTATTTATTTGTTTTCTTTTTTTTTTTTTTTTTTTTGCTATGCAGATGTATTAGCCGGGAGCTGGGGGGGTTGTTTGTGTACATGATTTATTAACGTAGCGCACTGCTGCATATTAGAGACAATGAAGCCCAGTGAGCGGCCGGCAGCCGACACGCTTAGTCTGTAGTGCTTTAATAATAACACCCTATAAAACTAATACAGTGGATCAATACAGCTGCCATGTGTATCCTCACTCTGTTCTTTTCTTACCTCTTTTTCACCTCCCGCCTTCCTTCTGCCTTCGTTCTCGAAACATTCACCTCTGCAAGTCAGTTAATCTTGTATTTAGATGTCACTTCATTGGAACAAAAAGTCTTTTATTTATTCTGGTGAACTGAAATGAGATGAAACAAACTGTGGCTCCTTTTTTGGACCCTTTCGGGGTTTTTTTCACTCCTTTTGTATGATTTTAAATTCAAGATTAAATGGCTTGTGAATCTTTCTCAGTGCACTTTTATTTCTTCTTCTGCCTCCTTGTGGATGAACTGCATCAGCCCTCCCCTCCGAGTCCACAGGATCCATTACTTCTGTCCCACGTATATATTTACACAAGCAAAAAAAAAAAAAAAGGAGCATTTTTTTGCCTCTAATCTAGATGAAGATACTGTAGATATTTTTCCAGTTTTTTAGGAGAGTTTGGCTTTAAGACGATGAACATGAAGCGACAAAAAAAAACAGTGAATTTGTACGATTCTTATTCTTCTAACCAAGAGATGGAGAGCGGTGAGTCGGAGAGGAAGACGAGGCAGGACGCCTTACCTGGTTTTAAGAAATGATCATTTAAATGTTAATTTCTGGCCTTACTGTCTCGCTCACATAGTTTGATCCTGGACGACAGAAGGAGGCTGGGATCAAACAGCTGGAAGCAGACTTGGGCCACATGAAAATATTTGGTTTCGCCTTTGTTTTAATCCTCATGGAGAACCAGATGTTCAGGAATCATCACATGGGTTCAGCCACAGAGCTGAAACTTTAGTTATCGTCTTCAGGAAACCAGAAATCTGAGCTTCCTGCACTCGTACCTTCAGTGAAGATATTTTCTAAAGTTCTACACACCTCGTAACCTTCACACTTACTGCAGTCAAGCTTTCTAGGGGCAGTGAACTGATGGAAACACCTTCTCCAGATAGGTTCTAACATACAACACATCAGTTGTTTCTGCTTCCAGAGACGAGAAAAAATTGACGATACCGGCTGACATGAAAGAATAGTTTCAAACTCCCGGACTTCTTTCCTTTATTCTCTCGTAGATGGACAAGGTTTTGTTTATCTCTTTGAGGTTTTCTTTGAGTTTTGTTTCTGGTTTCTCCCCAAAGCAGTTAAATGGAACAATAATCATTTATTTCCATTAAGATTTGGTTTGTGGTAGCAACAAGCTAAGTCGGGCCTTCCAGACATTCCTGTTACGAGTTTTGCAGCTCCTTCCGGTAGATCCTGAGATGTTCCCAGGCCGAATGAGATGTGTCATCCTTCCAGAACCTTCTGGGTTCAAAGGAAGGTTACCAGGAGGCTTCAAAATCAGATGCTGAACCACCTCGGCTGTTTTTTGTTTTTTAAAAATACAACTCTACTTAAAGTTGCCTCTGGTTGTCTGAACTCCTCACCAGTATGTCTAATGCTGAACCCAGTCAGCCTACGCAGGAAACTGGTCACTAACATCTTATTCTTAGATTTTATGACCGTAGGCAACAGTTGAAATAGATCGACTGATAAATCGAGCGCATTACCGTCCAGTTAAGCGTACTTTTCTCCACCAGTATGACGTCCATATTGCTGCTGATGCTATCTGTCCACCTCCCGTAATTTATTAACAAGAGCCACAGATTTTTTAAAATTCTTTGCTCATGGAAGCAACTCACCACCAACCGGCAGAGAACCTCAGACGTGGAGGTGGTGACTCCCATCATGGCTGCCAACCAGACGGCGGTGGACTGATGACGCCAACAGAACATCATCTCTGAGGTTCTGACATGAGTTCGAGACGCGATTCTAAGGTTCCCAAACCAGAAATCTTCCCACTTGGCTGCACCTCGAGATCCATGACAGGATCAGAGACAAGAGGAAACCCTGGTGGGATTCGACAGCCATCAGAAATGTGTTTGACTTGATGTCAAGGATTGGAACACAGCTCTAACTGGTCGTAGGCTTACGTCCAAGTCCACAAAACGTGGACTTGGAACATCAGGGTCCCAACACAAGGGTGAAGACCTGGTCCAACGTTCCAAGGCCTGGAAGGAACCCACATTGGACCTCCTGAATGGAGAAGTCGGTTGAAATCACTTGCTAGCTTCGTGAATGTTTGTCCTTGGTGGCTTGGAGACAGTAACGTACATGTTGCCGTTTGCTAGCAGTGATGTTCTCACAACTTGACATCGTCGAGGATACGAACACAGTTGTTACTTTGGTTCCACAATTACCAGTTGGCTTGCAGCAACAATTTTGGTACCCCAAACTCCCACAGCACCTCTCGTTAGGGTTCCTCGGGCAACATGTTCACGAAACCTGTGGCCAAACTCCCGTGACCCCTTTAGCAGCGCCGGGGAAGACCTGGTCCGCTGTTCCACAACAACGACAGAATCCGCATTGATCTTCCCGCATCCAAAGTTCTACAACTGGTCGGAACCCGTTGTTAGCTTGGTAGCTTGATGTCCTTGACATCACGAACACAGCTTTCAAGTTTGGTTCCACAAGTTTTCAAAAGTTTTTGATTCAAATTTGTGTCATGCTTTAAGTAATCTTCACACGGGCGTTTAAATATTGTACGAACTTCTTCCAAAGCCAGATTTCCAACATTTTTCTTCTAATGTGTCTCCTACAAGTCCTTCAGTTTATAACAAATATTAAAATGATCAGTTCGTAAAAGACGTATAAGAACTGATACAGCGTAGGACGGTAAAAAGATGAGTTTGTAGTCAAATGTGAACATAAAGCTGAATGTCACCGTTATTTTCTGATACCTGCAGGCTGATAAAGTTCATATAAGTTATTAATACCGACGTTTTTACATCTGGAAACCGATTCCTGACATCTGGATCTCCGAGCAGCTTAAAACTGACTTCTAAAAGCTCTCTGACCCTCATCTGCTGCCTCCTGCTTTAGTTTTGTGCCAACACAAAAAGCACTGCGACGTGTTTTTATTGGGTTTTTTTGTTGCTGTTTTTCTTTTGTTTTGATTTACTGAGGTGTTGTTCGGTTGCTCTGGAGGAGGAGAGGCTGAGACGGGAGGCGAGTGTGTTTTTAATACCTGTCAAAAAGTGTGCTAGAATTGATTTTCAGGACCTTTTTGGATATTAGCGACAACAGTGTTAGTCTTTTTTGCTGTACATCCCTGTAGAAAATAAAAACTCTGAGGCAATAAGAGCAGCTGTGTGTGTGCGTGGTGGCCTGATTACACTTTACAGACCCGCTGAGTCTGGCTTTAAGGAGCTTCTGGGGAGTCGGTTCGGTTTTAAAAAATCCAACACACCTGAAGTTTTACTGAAATCGGTAAACGGAGCTTCAGCCAATGAATAAATGTGCAAATCCAGATTTATTAAACCTTTTAGTCTCATGTTTTAAAATGATTTACAAACCGAAACAGACTAAATGAGTTGAAGCTTGTGTTGACATTAAAGTGGATTTATTCCGTGGAAAAATCCATCAGTTCCTTTTTTATTTACAATAAATTTAGTATATTAAATGAATTCAGGCAACGTTCTACCTTCATACTGAGAACATTTTCAGAGTTACCGGCCCTTGAAGTACACAGAAGGTTAATTTGTGCTACTTATCGACTGAAAAACACTTTGAAGTTCTGTTAAAACTGCAACCAGATCAGTTTACGTCCATCCAGACGTCACAGTCTGAACACAACAGGACTGGATGTGTTTCTGTTTTCTGGTCATTCACCAGAGAAAACCTGAATAAATGCATTCTGGGTAAACTTTCAGGGCTCGTGTGTGGTGGTGGTTGGTCAGAACAACTTCTAGACAATGAAAGGATCATTTTTACTGACACAGGATCATCTTCTGAATGTGTCCCTCACTTCACTTTTTCAGCAGCTTTATCCAAAAACACGAAAACATGTGAAAGTCCAGCAGAGCAGCAAGACAGGAGTACGTCTTTGTCACGTAGTTTAAATCCATTTAAAACAGTTTCAGGTGATTAGGAAAACAGTAAGGCACAAAACCCGATGAACTTCAGATCACATCCTGCCTGTCCTGACCTCACTATGAGGAGCTCTGATTCATTTCAAGAGTTCAATTAAAACAACACAGACTTCGTGATGTAATGTTCTGTATTAACAGCTTGTTCATGGGAAGAAAAAAAAGAAGAAAATTTAAGACAATATTCACAGAAAAATGTTCTATAGATGACCAACAGCTTAAAGAAAACAAACCTAAAAAATTCAGTTTTCTTAAAGTTATTTTTTTGGATAGTGTTAGAGAGAGAGAGACAGGAAAGTAGGGGAGAAGAATGGGGGGAGGACATGTGGGAAAGGGTCATGAGCGGGAATCAAACTCATGACCTTCACATTGGGACTGTTGCCCCGTACATGGGACTCCAGCTCAACCAGGTGAGCTATAGAGGCGCCCCCCCAAAAAAATTCTGTATTTTTAAAAGTATATTTAATGTAAAACCTATGATTGAAAAAAGACATCAGCTGTTTTTTAATGGTAAATCTAATCTAAAGTACAAAAACTGCAAACTGGTGACCTGTCCAGGTGAACCTGCCTTCACCCTGAGTCAGCTGGGATGGATGGATGGATGGATGGATGGATTGATGGATGGATGGATGGACGTTTATTCACTTATTTTGTGTCTTTTCTCATTAAATATTCACTTCAGCTTCACGTCAACATCTCCAGGTTAAACAAGACGACTGCAGGTCCTGAAAAGTCTTCAAAATTGTCATTTTTTCCCCCTAACAGTGTGAAACTCCAACAAAAACAGAATTTTTAAACATTTTGCAGCTGAAACCTGTGAAAGTTGAACATTTTTGCTTAAAACAGAACTCAGTTTAATTACTCAGACAGGAATATCAGACATTTGATCTTTTTGCTGACCGTGTTCAGATTTCTGCTGCTCGTTGATTCGGTTTGTTCTTCATGTTCTGAACTCTCTGCAGTTCAGTCTGTCGCCACTAGATGTCGCTGCTGCATCACCTTCATGAGGCTTCTTCTTCTCTGGTATCTCTTTCTGCTTGTTGCTGATTTTTAGAAGCTGCAGACTCACGTTTGAGCCACAACGTTAAACCCAACAACAAACACAACGTCAGCTGTCAGAAATGAACTCTTAATGGCTTTTTTGTTTTTTTGTTTTTGTTTTAAGCAGTTTACTGTTCTTTTATATGTGTTGTCAAATTACACCACAATAAAATGTTAAACGTAAAAAACAACAACACACTGTTCACATAATAATATTTATATTTATATATTCATATATTTACATAAGCTAACAAATAAGTGAAGCATTATTTTACAGATATTTGAGAGAAAAAAATGGCCATTAAAGATAGAAAAATGGTTACCACAACTTATAATGGTTCCCAAATTCACCTGTTTTGTTAAATCACAGATAATAGCAAGTATAATTACAGAAAAAAAGTATTAATTTAAATTTTGTCTATAAATAAAAA